TTTTCGCACATGAGGTCTACCAGATCACAGGTCAGACTCTGTAGATACGACAGCGGGTGAATGTGCTGATATTTCTATGTCCAAAAAAGTCCATTGCGTCGTTACGTTCATGCCACGTTCTGCGCGTTTAATCATTTTATTGATTAGATTTGAAAATTTAGGACAGTTTGAAGGATGCCATTTCCATCAATAGTTTTAATCTCATCACTACATATTAACCCTAAACAGTACACCTGGGGTCCGCGCGGACCCCAGCACTATATATTCTGTAATATCTTTTTTGTTTCTAAAGATTTTTTTCTGAAATTTTAGGTAATTGTCACCCACAAAGTTGTCTGTTAATACAGTGCAGAAAACTCCGTTTCTACCATTTATAAAAAAATTATATCTGATTTTCTTTTGGGGTCCGCGCGGACCCCAGCCGGCTTTCGATCATAATGGTTACACTGGCGTTCTTATACATTACCTTATTTCCGTTTTTATATGTTTTTATGCACTCATCGTATGTCTACCAAGTTTTCAGAGAATGGTGTAGTAATAGAATCAAATTTTAATAACTTTGGTGTAATTATGACGTCATATGACGTCAGAGCTAATAATATAGTCCGCCATATTGGATTTTGACCAATGACGTCATCAAATTAGCATATTCTATGCATATTAAATGATTTAACTTATATTTAATTATGTAAGATGTTATTGATGTTGGAAAAGAAGTGTAATTTAATATAAAACTTAGAAAATTTTTATGTTTAAATCAAAATTACTTCTATGTTTAAAAAAAACTGCCTGCTAGAAACCCGTTGCCATGGCAACACAAAAAAACATCAATTTACTAGTATTAAACTAATATGAACTTTTTTCCAGAGACATTTTAGGAAAGGTCTCCAAATTTGATACTTCTAGCGCAAGCCGTTTAGCCGCTATCTGAGATCAAAGTTGGGCCTCAAAAGCCCCTTCAGTCTGAAATGGGTTTAAAAATCGGGTATTTCTTCTTGTCTTCTTTTCTTCACCAGAAAATAGAAAAAGTTCAAAATGTATGATTTTTGTATGAAAGGTGGACACAGAGGTTCCCACATCAGTTTGCAAAACAATTGAGCTAGTAGCATGTTGATAATTTCTAAAAATTAGCAAAAAACTGTTCTGGGGTCCGCGCGGACCCCAGGTGTACAGATTAATCAGTCCGAGAAGGTGTACTGTTGAGGGTTAATACTAGTAAGTTGATGTTTTTTTTGTTGCCATGGCAACGGGTTTCTAGCAGGCAGTTTTTTTAAAATAGAAATAATTCTGGTTAAAACATAAAAATTTTCTGAGTTTTATATGAAATTACACTTCGTTTCCAACATTTATAACATCTTACATAATTAAATATAAGTTAAATCATTAAATATGCATAGAATATGCTAATTTGATGACGTCATTGGTCAAAATCCAATATGGCGGACTATATTATTAGCTCTGACGTCATATGACGTCATAATTACACCAAAGTTATTAAAATTTAATTCTATTACTACACCATTCTCTGAAAACTTGGTAGACATACGATGAGTGCATAAAAACATATAAAAACGGAAATAAGGTAATGTATAAGAACACCAGTGTATCCATTATGATCGAAAGCCGGCTGGGGTCCGCGCGGACCCCAAAAGAAAATCAGATATAATTTTTTTTATAAATGGTAGAAACGGAGTTTTCTGCACTGTATTGAGAGAAAACTTTGTGAGTGACAATTACCTAAAATTTCAGAAAAAAATCTTTAGAAACAAAAAAGATATTACAGCGTGGACCCCAGGTGTACTGTTTAGGGTTAAACAATCCTTTTTTTTGTTCATCAAAACATAAAGACATAACAAGGACAGTGTGACGCTGCACTCAAGTTAACAACTTATATTAACAGCACCACACAACAAAATAGGTACAATTAACATTTAAATATGCAAAGTTGACATGTGCGCCATAGTCCCACCACCCCAAGACATTAAAATATTAAATTAAATGCTAACAAAGCTATTTGAAAGATAAGATTACATGGTAACCTCCTATATCTCATTGGCGGAAAAACATCCGCCAATCAGAGCTAGGAGGAGAATTTAGGCCCATTAACACTTACGTAGTATTTGGACTTCTATATCTAATTGACTGTTAGAAACAGTCAAGCAGAGCTAGAAGCGCTTGGTATCTCCAATGTAAATCTGAGTGAGTTGCATCGTTTTAAAGTTGTACATAGAGGGTAACATTGAGGAGCCTCTAAGAATAAAGTGAAGTTTAGCATTATCTGACATATTATTAAGGTTGACAAGATGACCAAGTAAATCTGCAAAGATTGCCAAAAAGTTCCGATCTCTCATTATTGTATAATGGACAATGTAGCATGAAGTGCATGACAGATTCGCAAACGACACCTGCATCTACAAGAGGCACTGGTAGAGAGTCCTCGGGTAAAGAAACTGTGATTGAGAGCACAGGTGCCGATGCGGAGCCGAACAAGAAGGGCGCAGGTGTAACGCGGGCCACAATTGTAATGTGGGGGACAAAGGGGACGTACTAATCTAATAAGGTGTTTCCGGAACAAGGAGTATCGTAAAGAACGAACTTCCAGGTCCAGTTCATTCCAATGACTTAAACAATAGGGTATAAAAGATCTACTAAACCTATTAGTAAATTGTAACGAAAGTCGAAAGTCGTTACTATTTCTTAAATTGTACAGAGTGGTTTGAGAAATTTCAGGGGGGATTAAGTCAAAAAGATATGTCCGTGTTAGGCCATTGACTATTTTATGAAATAAAAATAAGCGGTGAAAATGCCGTCTGCTAGAAAGAGACTCCCAACCCAGTTCTTGACAAACAGATAAGTAAGAAGAGCCTTTAACTGCTCCTGAGACGATAAGAGAACATTCATATTGGATTCTTTCAACAAGAGCGGAGTCTTCAGCAGTACAGCCATGCCAGATCACATCTGCATACTCAAAACAGGGACGGACAAATGATTTATAAATGGTTTTTAAAACATTGCGAGGTAATTTAAACTTTAAACCACGAAGTACAGTGACCTGTTTGGATATTTTGGCTAACATCTGAATAATATGGTTGTGCCAAGACATATTGGTGGTCAATATAACTCCAATATGTTTATGGTATGGGACACAATTAATTTTAGACGACCCAAGATAAAGAGGAGGGTGGGTGATAGGGGATCTTTTAGTAGAAAATGACATCTCTTCAGTTTTAGATGGATTTAGTTCCATAGCCATTTTTTGGACCAAGACAGAATTTTACTCAAATCAGAGTTAAGCCTATATGCAGATGCGGTCGGGTTATCAACTACGTCAAGTAGGGAGCTATCATCTGCAAATAAAAAGGGTAAAGAATTTAAGTTATTTACAATGAAATGTATATATATGATAAACAGTAATGGTCCTAACACAGAGCCTTGGGGAACACCTGCGCCGATCTTGGACCAGGGAGAAGTCTGTCCATCTATGACAACTCTCTGGGACCGGTCACATAGATAACTGTGAATCCAGTTTAGTAAGGGACCGTCAACTCCATTTTGCTGCAGTTTAAAAATTAAACCGGAATGCCATACCTTGTCAAAGGCCCGCGAAAAATCAAGGAACACAGAACGTACTTCTTTCCCTTCCTCAAAAGCCTTAAGGATGGTGTGACAAATGTAAACTAACTGACACACAGTTGAATCCCCAAGGATCAACAATCCGTCAAGGGTCCAGGAACATGTTCGTATTCTTACACCCACCAGTTTTTCGAGCTGTTTCAGCTTTTTCGCCACTTCTGAGGAAGTTTTGACTTTCGTCTCTTTGCCCCTTCTCCTCTCTGCTGCTTTGTTGTAACCCTCCTTTTCCTCGTCAGTCAGGTTCTTCCAGCTCTCACCGATTTCCTTATTGGCACCGGCAAGGGAGAATCCTCGGTTGGCTGAAGCAACATGCAAGACGACAAAGTGTTAGATACCGTTTACGTACAATACTCTTTAGTTCAGTGGATGTTCATAAAGTTGATATTTCGAATACTTTTCGCAAGGGATGATAACGCCGTATCTAAAATGACTGTACCTACAGTATGCTATGGTAAGACAGTCACAAAATATGCAGTAAGTGAAATACGTGAAATACGTATTTCACTTACTGCATATTTTGTGACCTCTTCCTCTCCATCGTGTCTGGTGAACTTGGCATGATTATCTGAACCTCGTTGATATAAATATTTGATACATGAAGCATTATGATGTTTACCTTCGCAGGAGAAAAACATATTGTTTTTGCTCTGTTTCGTCTTTTTCTTCTCCAGATACATAAGGTCAATGACATGACACAGAAGTCTGTCACCATGGTAACTAGTGCTGTAGCAGACACCATGTTTGTAGCGGTTACATTTTGTAGCGGGATTAGAGAGGCTGGTCATTATATATACATGTGCATTATATGTATAGAGAGAGAGACCATGTGAAGGTAAACCTTATCTATTTGCATTTACAAATGTTACCTTTCTATTTACTACAACTAAAGCATTCGAAAGGATAATAAAATGATCGACTGAATCTTGCTATAATTGTCATAGTTAAACATTTTCGTAAACAATTATAACTGCCGTTTCAACTCACCCCTTTTCCTTGGCAGCTGTTCCCTGTAGTACTCGTGATATCCCGTGATCCTCCTCTTCCTCTCCATCGTGTCTGGCGGCGGTCTCCTCTTACTGCCGCCTTGACTCTTACGGTAGTTACCGATGAAGTTCTGAAAGGACAATTTGATTCATTCAAAGTTGATTCATCTATTGCCTTGTACGTAGGTCAATTTTGTTGTACCCACGTATCTGTCTGCATGTCTACATGTAGATGACTACCTTACAAAAGTCGCTGCATTTTTTGTTGTCTATAAATTTCTCTATGAAACACGGTATACTTGTCAAAGTTTAAGTCCAGGTATGGCGGAACAGGCACTATCACACCACTGAAAATCATATTTGACATGTTTGACCAGACCTGGTGATAACTCGATACAACCAAATCAGAGGATGCCTCTCCTTGTTTCGCCACTGGAACCTACCCACCAAAGACACAGTTAGACCTGTTCTGGGACTAAGGATAGACGGTTTGTAAGGGGGGAGGGTGCTACAGACAAAGGGGTTGGACTAAATGTAAGATATCCTGTTTGATATTGCCACCGATAGTAGATGGGGATTGGGGAAGAGCAGTTATGGAAATGTACAACAATTTTATTAACCACCCATAATTAATATCGACTATATAGTAGTCGACCTTAGAGAGCTATCTTGTCAATAGGGATGTAAGACGTGTAATATATTTGGTGATACCATGACTTGTTCAACTGTTTTCCCGCTCTCCTTAGCTGCTTCTTGTATCAATGGGTGATCCTTCTTCGCCTCGGTCATTCCGCTTTCCTCATAGAACCGGACGAGTACAGGATCGTATTCCTTCTTACGTGAGGGGACACCCTGTAACGCAAACAAGTGAAAGTTTGTTTGGTATGAAGGCGGTTCTACAAAGATTCTTTCTGACACACTTCTGGTCATTGAAGTAGGCTGAAATTGGACATGTATATTATACATGTACATGTCTCTATAGATAGATCACATGCCTTCCAACTGCCCTTGTAGCTAAATGTTTGAACGCAATTCTGATTATAGTCATAATGCATATCTATTCAGCCTGCCAAGCAGAATACAACAATTCAAATACTGCCATGCGTACCAGGGTAACTAAAAAAACAAACTTTAAATCATCTTTAGCTTGTAGTTTAATATTAGAAGGGGTTGTTTGTGAACCGAACTGTTTGACAAGAAATTTACAGTCATCTCAATTATACACTTTAGATATAATGCTTTATAATTTTGCATCACGTAAGTTTTGAAGTGACTCACATTATTGTGTTGTCGGAGAAGCTTCAGTATTTCCTTTCTACCACGGGAAATTCGGTCTTCCTCATCTTTGTTTACCGGATAAGCGTTACTGGTGTCCTCATCATCTGCAGCGATGTCCTCCGCCGTTTGACCAACCTGGGAATAAACATGCTGTCAATTATCCCTATTCAGACCGGGCTTTTTTGGGCAAGCTTTGTTATGTCCCAAACCGTGCCTTGTCCCAAACCATGCCTGGGCCACATTCTGGGACACGCGGGGACTGTCCCGAACCGTGCCTGATCGGGCACAGTTCTGGACACACAAGGGCCTTGTCAAATTCCGTGCTTTGGGGGTGGAGCTTATTGTTTTGAGGGAGGAGCCTTCAAGTGGTGTTGTTTTACTGTTTTAGGTCGCCATCTTTGTTTTTCGTCGGGGCAAGAATAACAAATAATCGGTGTATTTCCTGCTCTGTAAAGTACATTTTTACATTTCACGCTGGTCTACGACTTACTTGTAGTGTCCAAACAGAGTGTCTTGTATCATTCTGCAACACAGTGTGAACACAGTTCTTGATACAACACAGCACGTAGTATACCCAAGAAAGCAGACTGACTCAAGATCAGTCCTGGAATCGGAAACAACACTTGCTTATCCACCAACCCCACGCACGGATCTGGATAGTCCTGACGCGTATCCACGACAGACTAGAGCAAATCAACTTGTAGAAAAACAAAGTGTTTGTTTAGAACCGTGCCTCAGGTCGAGCACAGTTCTGGACACGCGATGGCCTTGTCCCAAACCATGCCCGGGCACGTTCTGGGACGCTCGGCGCGTGTCCCGAACCGTGCCTGGGGACTGAGCACAGTTCGGGACACGCGGATGCCTTGTCCCAAACCGTGCTTGGGCATGGTTTGGGACACTCAGCGCGTGTCCCAAACCGTGCCTGGGGAAAATCTACATTCTGGGACACGCGGGGGACTATCCAGAGCCGTGCCTGACCGCACACATGTACAGTACGTTCTGGACACGTATTATTTGAGCTTGTCCCATTCCGTGCTAGGGGACTGAACACAGTTCTCATAACATGTGCCCCAAGCGAGTCTCTTTCTTGTATTAACTAGTCTCTGTATATTATTATCTAAGTTCATGTCGACCAAACATAAGACTAAGTTGTGAGAAAACTTTGTTTTTAAAGCACATGCTGTACACAGACTCGCAAAATCTCACGTAATCTAGCCATATAAGAAATCGTGGGCGTGAAAAATTATGCTAGGTTCCCGCCAATCACTATGATTGACAGCGCTTCCGGGCACGGTAATTGGGACAGTCAGGCCTTGTCCCGTTCTGTGCCCGCTCAGGCACGGAATGGGACGGGCACGGTTTGGGACACAACAAGCTTATCATGATCAGACGGGGGGGAGGGGCTTTTCGGGCCCGCCCCCTGTAACTCAACAGCCACTTATCGTATGGCCACCGAATTTTCAGAGGATGATTAAGTAATGAAATAAATTCATAAAATGACATTTGTGTAATTAAGAGGTCATTATGACGTCATTTACATGGTTTTCTGGGGTAAAACCGTCAATTTTTTCCATTAAGCTCAGAGGAATAGAACCAAACTTAAAAAAAAAACTATGATAAAATATCTGCTAACGTAAAAAAAAAACAGTATATTTTTGAAAGAGTCACCAATTTAACGGTTCTAGCGCCAGCCCTTCAATCGCTATTAGCAGAGATAAAAGGGGGCGCAGGGCTCAACCCCCTCCCCGGCCCGGTCTGAATAGGGTTATAGGCTCATCAGAACACATCGTGATTTGTGTGTTTATTCCAACAACAGCTTCTCCTTGCCTTGGACAGTAATGTATGTATTTAAGTGGATCATCATTATTAAAAGTCTTACTTTTGATTTTTCTCCCAAACAAAGTAAAGCCAATATTGTATTCCTGGATTGGTGGTCAGTTATTTACCAGAGAAGCCGAAGAACCGACTGACCTTGTTCCTGAGACCGGCATCAGCCCCGTGCTGCAGCAGTATTTCCGCACACTTGGGGCGGCCCCGTGTAGCTGCGTCATGGAGGGGTGTGTTTTCCTGTTGGGGCATTGACAGTGCAATTTTTCGTCCTTAGCATGATCAAATAGGAACCCCTTTATAAATGAATG